TGGATGAGAAATCCCAGGACAATAGGAAACCAAGTAAAGGAATAGTATTACTACTTACACTGCAGGCAGAAAATATTAAAATAAAATTAAGTGCATATAGTATCATTCATTGTTGGGTGACTGTAAAATCTATATTGGTGTAGAATGTATCTAAGGAATTTAAATGCTAGCATTAGTGTCTTTAAATGTTGCAGAAAAAGAAAATATGTGACATGGAAGGAATAAAATTCTTTGCTAGCTACTGTCTGGGTGATTCTCACTTATATCATTTCATTTTCTTGACTTTTTTTAACCCTTTTTGGGGTTAAATGAGATAAATGATTTATTATCACCAAGTACTTGTTTATAGTAATTTCAGTCATAACTTCTGTGGTGAGTATTATGCCTAAGACACTTAAAATTTCAACTAAAAGCTTTGTTTTATTGCCCAGGAAAAGGTAGCTTTGATTTTTTTTTTTTAAGGTAGCTTTGATTTTAATGTTCAAATTTAGCTAAAATTTTAATAACCTGAAGTCTTTTTGCTAAATTTAAATGCATTTTAACTTAATACTTGATGGTAAGGTTTTTAAGAAAGTGTATGTTAGTTTTGGGGTTGACATTGTTCATAAAACTCTTAGGAGATCATACCTTTGTTCTTTTATTATTTATTTTTTAAAATTTATGCATACAAGAACTGGGGTGTAGACCAGAGGTGGAGGGGAGATGGTGGTGAGGGGATTCACCAGAGACAGAGTGGGGATCAGAGGCAAATCTGCTGAAACACACTGGTAGGGGGAACCATAGGTGAGACAGGAGAGGTCTGCTGCTGTACTAGTTCCTTGGCTTGGGATGGAATTCTGGCATTAGTGGCTGACAATAGCTTAATAGCGCTGAGACTTTAACCACTGCACCACCAGGGAGGCTTTAGATTGTTATTTTTTATAAATATGAGTGATTGGCCTCTGGAGAATACTCAGTGTGCATAAACAGGTAGAATAGATGAATATCAGAAAATCTGACCTTGAATTAGTTTAAAATTTAGAAGGTGGTACAAAGACACTGCTACAAATATTTAATCCATTTTGTGCTGGCTTTAAAGATTTGAGAATTTGTTTTTGAAAGGCAGTGAGTGTTAACCAGTATAGTTTTAGTCTAAGGATGGAAGCAAGATATGACAGGTTTAGTGATTTTCGGACATGTTTTTCTTCACTAATTTATAAGTAAAATGCTGTTGGTAGGTACAAGGAGAGGAGAGTTTCTGTTAAATGTACAGAGCATACAGTTATTATATATGAGAGTGGAGCTTATATATCACATACTAATCACAGTGTCTGATTTGTGATAACTACTCAGTAAATGTGGGTAATACTGGATAGGTAACACAGATGAAAGGACAGTGGGTTGCTGGATAGATAATCTATAAGGAAGGTATGTACTCTAATAACATAGATTTGTGAGTTCTATGTGACAAGTTAGGGAAATACTTATTTATATTATGATAGAGATAACATATCTATATTTTTGAAGTTTGTTAATGTTTGATTATAAATGGATCCATCAACTTGGGACAGGTATAAGCAGTCTTTTGTTAGTCAATCAGGGAATACTGAAGTGATCCCAGTGCTTAAATATTTTATTTAGTGTCGTAGAAGAAACATGACATAATCCTTGCTGACAGGATTTTCAACACCCAAAATAATGGCATCAGTCATACATGATGGTGTATTTTTAAAAAATTGTTGTAAAAATGCATATCAGAATTTGCCATCTTAGCCACTGCTAGTATTAAGAAAATTCATATTGTCATACAATTACGGTATGTATTTAAATTGTATCTTGAAGAGAGTATAAAGGTTGTAGGGAAGTGATACTGTGATACTGAAAATGTGTTATATTAAACAACTAAAAATCCAATTTTATTTGAAGATCTGCTTATCTATGTTTTATTTTAATTTGAAACTACTATTAGAAATTAGAGGGAAAAGTCCAGAGTAATCAGAGATTTCATGGAGAGGAAATCTTTAACTGGACCTTAAGAATTAAGAACTAGAGGGGCTCTAGACAGGGAAAAGGAAAAGCACTGTACTTCAGGGAATCAAGCAAAGCACAGGTGGGAATGAACATTACCTGTTTATAGATCCATGGAAAAAAACCTGCCTTCTTAGAATTTGTTATTTATATTAGAGTATGAATGATATGAGAGGCAACATAGTATATATATAATGTTTCCAAAATGAGTTCTACTTGGTATCATTGTTGTAAAGGGGAACTATATGGTAAATTTATGTCTTTTTTCCCCTACAACGCCCCCCAACATTGATTGTTACTATGCGTTCAAAATTGTAGCATTTTTATCGAACATATTTTAATTTTATTTTTACCAGAGGAAGCTTGCTTCATCTGGAACCATTGGTTTTTTGACACCATCTTGAAAATACCTATGCCATTTACAAGTTGTATGACTTGATTATGGAATTTAATCCACCAGACTGACTCTCCCTGCGACCTGCACTAAGTTAATATTATTGTTGCTGTATGTGAAAAGTGTAAAATTCATTCAATACTGAGTATGTATTGTAATATTCTAGGAGTTGTGTTATGAAAATGCAAGGCAAAGGTTAATAGAACAACACAATATTATATACATATAACCCATCTACATCCTTGCTATTCTAGGAATGGCCTGTGGACATTAGCATCTCCTATCTGCAGTCTTGTTAGAAACATGGAACTCACTCTCTGTCTTAGACCTTTTGAATCATAATCAGCTTTTTATCAAACTCTCCCAAGTATTCATATGCATATTAAAATTTGTCATGCTGCTCTCTCACATTCAACAAAATCTCATTCTGTCCTCACTGTTAGCACTACTTGAACACTGTTAATAGCAGAATAACAGAGAATTTAATACCTTTGGCTTCAAATACAAGATTTGCCTTTTGCTTTTTAGTAAGACAAATCTTTTCATTTTTATTTTTTCCCCTAAAAAATACCTTTATTTTGACTCTCCAATAGACAAGTTAACTATGACCTTGATTTGTTGAACGTATTTGGGAGCCATTGCATTATAACATGACTTCTAACCAATGAGATTTAATTTTAAGGATTTCCCTTCCATTCTTAAAAATTTATTTATTCTTAATAGAATTAGTACCCTAGTGGGTACTACCATGGTAATGCACCTACCACTAAATCACCCATTGTTGCCCCACCATTGTCCATTGTGCTTCCTCCCTTCTTTATTCTTAACTCTCCCCTTTCCCTGCAAGTGCTTTAGTTTTGCAGTCAGCTTTCAAGGAATTAGTTTTAAAATTTTGTATGAACCTAGTTGAGTTACTCTCTTAAAGAGTTATACAGAAAGTGCTTAAGTTCTTAGGTGGGAGCCATCTCTATGTAAAAGATAAACATTTACCAGATGAGTCCCTCACAAAATGTCACGTAGAATTGAGTGTAGTGCTTCAAGAATAGCGTGGCCAAATATTTGAATGAAAGAAATAGTTACTTCTTATACCAGAGCATTTGAGAACTCTGAGTTGCCTATGCTACTGTTTGTATACCCTTCAACAAGCAATTTCTTTTTAAAAAATACAATTTTTTTTTTAGATTTATTTATTTAGTCATACAGAACTGAGGTACAGGCCAGAGATGCGGAGGGTGAGAGGATTCACCAGAGACAGAGCAGAACAGGCAGATCTACAAAATACACTGCTGAGGGGAGCTGCAGGCTGGTCAGGAGAGGTCTGCCACGCCATGTGGTCACCTCTGGGGCAGGCGAGGATCGAACTCTTGCGGAAGTGGCTTTAGCTTCTTAGTGCTGTGCTTTAACCCGCTGTGCTACCAGGGAGGGCCCTTATTTTATATTTTTATTACATATATATTACATCATTCTTCATTTTTGTACATTTTTTCATTTTTAGGGGAAAAATGAAAATGAAATGATTTATCTTACTAAAAAGTAAAAGGTAAATTTTGTATTTGAAGCCAAAGGTATTACATCCTCTGCTATTCTGCTACTAACAGCTTCAAGCTACTCTTGAAGCTCTGCACTCATTTCTACATGACATTTTGTGAGGGGCTCATCTGACAAATGTTTATCTTTCACATATAAATGGCTCCCATTTAAGAACTTAAGCATTTTCTGTATAACTCTTTTAAGTCAGAGTAACTCAGCTCCATTGTAATCTCTGTGGATGTCCCACAGGGACGTCCCATGTCCCATCACCATAGTCCCATGTGTTCTTCCAATCCCAGTTTTGATCCCATTCCCCTCTCCACTCCTGTCCACTCCTGTAGACTATCTCTGGTTTATAGTGTGTTGACTTTAATTTTTACTTTATTGCAATTGCTTTTTTTATTGTCTGATCCTTTACACTCCTGCTGTGAGTGAAACCATCTGATACTTTCTGGCTTTTTTTTTTTTTTTTTTACAAGCATGATCCCTTCAAGCTCCATCCATTCAACAAGCAATTTCTTAAAAAAAAAAATAAGAATCCTTTATAATTTTAATTAATTAATTGGTTTATAGTTGGATTTTGCTAAGCTTGGAATAGCCTCAGTTTTTCCATGTAACCAGTTCTCATCATCATACCTAAACACTTGGTTAGACACTGACTGTAGATGTCGATTACACTACTGGTAATATTCGCCTACTGTTTTACCTCTACTTTAAGAAAGTTTCTCAAAATATGCCTTTCTCTTTTAATTTATAGTATCTAAAGTATGTTGAATTGTAAGAAGTGAACTATAGGGTCTCATAAGAGATTAAAAGCTTTTGTTACATAGATATAAATACTCACTATAAAAATTAATATAAAAAGGGGAAAAATCCATCTTAATCCCACTACTTCAAGAGTTGTTTATTTCTGAATTATTTTTTAATGTATAGAAGGTATGTGCTGTACATACAATACAAAAAGATAGGAGAATTTATATACTATTATGAGAGTTGGCTTCTTTTAACCAGAAAAATAAAGCTAAAGTATAACTCTTACTAATGTGATCAATGTGTTTCTCCACTTTAGGGAAGAAACCCGTTTTTCTTGGAGCCAGCAATAATTATTACAATTACTGATGGGAGCAAGTTGACTACCACCAGTGGGGTCCAGGATGAGGTAAGTTATGTTTTATCAACATGGTTCAAGCATATGCCTTTGACTAATCTTTATTTGTATATGTCTTTAAGATATTGAAGATCTTAGATTGGTTCCTTCTTTTATTTCATGCAGTCAAGAGTCTTCTGTTTCCTAACACTCATCCACCTTTTCTGTAGCAGTGTCACCAAATTTTCTTGAATAGAAGTCCATTCTGTGAAAAGTGTTTAAGCCTATCCCAGTATATCTGTGTCTAATTTAGATTGGCAGTATCTGTTCATATAGTAAATTAGCAAAATTCTTAATTCCAAGTTAAAAAAATGGAGACAGCATTCTATTTCTTTCTTCCCGCATTTCAGTGGATTGTCACGTGTACACTGCACTATGGAGCCTTGTAGATGAGTACAGCACAGTCATAGGAGGTTAGAACTAGAAAAAGTTAGGGTTCTTGGACAACAGTGTAATTTATAGCTAACCTCATCTAGTCTGTACTATCAATAGCACGCACTGTGCACAGTTGGACTTGTGTGATGTGATAGATTGAAAGAATACTTTTATTGTAACTTTTAAGGTTTTTTATGTTCTATTTGCTGTACTGTTTGCTTTCTCTTTAAAACCTTTTCATTGTATTTACAAAGGGTTTGATTAAATAGGAAAAGTAAAGTTTTTAAGTTCAGTAATTCAGGTTTTTTTAAAACTACTTTCATTTGTGTAACATTGTGGAATGCAAATTGAAATCAGGACATGTGGGTTTTAGTCTTTCTTAACTACTTTTATAGCAGTGGACTTTGTGCCATTTGCCTTATCTCCCTAAATCTATACTTATCAGTGAAATAAAGATGTTATTTCTTGTCTTACCTCATCGGGTTATTGCAAGTCTGAGATGAAATCATGCATGTGAAAATAATACTTGGTAGACTGGGAAGAAACAATATAGGATTGTTTTACTATGAACCAGTAAAGAATCATAATTGTTTGATTTTGATTTGGAGAAAAGAAAGCTAGAATTGTTTTAAGTAGTTATATTAAAGGAAATTTAGGATATAAATTTAGAAACAGACTGAAAAATTTAGGTAGATTTTTAATTAAACAATCTGTAATTAACCTTGCAGTGTTCCATAGCTAAACCTTTTGGGCTTTTTCAAACTTTGTTGATATGTCTAATCAATTATTTCCTGCCACTATCATGACCAGAGGAACATTGGCTATATTCATGAAGAAGCAATACAAATATTGCTTAAGTTTAAATTTAAAACTTTCTTTGTATGTCCAACTTAACTTTCTTTTTGAAAAATTTAGAGAATGATTAAGTATCAGTAATCAAATCAGAAATAACTTGAATAGATTCCCAAATAATTTCTTTATTTAGTATAAACTGAAAGTCCTGATGGTTTTGTTTTTTATCCTTAATGATTTTGACTTATAGTTAATGATCATTGAACAGATACTCTGTTATTTATTATGAAATATTTCTACATTCCTGGCTTATCCACTCAGGGTGTTCTGTCTTTCTGCCTTTGTAGAAATGCCTTTTGGAAGTAAAACATATTTTGTTCCCTTTTTATCTGGGTGAGTTTTGTTAGTAGTATTTGTTTTGTAGGACCTCTTCCGGCTTTTAAAAATATTTTGAAATATATGTGAATATTGGAATTGTTCACCTTCCCTTCATGGTCCTTGGAAAGGACATTGGGGAAATGGGACTATCTGTTTACAATAAACTAAAACTGCCTTGCTTGTACAGTTGGTAGGACTTTCTTATGAGCAAGGATCTTAACTTTTAGGTCTCTTATATCTTGTGTGATAGCTTGTATAATATGGTTAACAGAATTTACATTAAAAAATGAATTTGTAGTATTGTTGTATTGGCTCTAGTAGTTATCAAAATCAAAGTTGATTTTCTGCAACTATTTCTTACCTAAATCTGAAGATTAATTTGTTTTATGGTAGTGATTTAATTTGGTTATGAAGTTGGATCATAGGTCTGTGAGTTGTTCTGGTTTTCAAGTTTAGGAATGTCTGTGACTGCGCGAAGTAGGCTCTTAATGCACCAGAGAGATACCATCTTGTTGGGCAAAGACTGTATAAGTATGTATATTGAAGTTTATGCTGAAATGTTGTTAAATGTTCGTTTGTTCTAGCCTAATTAAATTTTGTGACTCATTTCTAGGAATTTTCTAATTGATGAAAAGCGTAAATATGCTCTGTGTGTGTGTGTGTGTGTGTGTGAGAGAGAGAGAGAGAGAGAGGGAGAGAGAGGATGCACATTATACACATGATACACATGATTTATGTTGTAATTTCTGCTCAGGAGAATAGAATTTTGCCATAAAGTATCTATTCTTTAGGTCTATAACCTTTGCCTTTGGCAAAACATGATTATTTTTAAGATGTGTGAATAAATAAATGGGTTAGTAATGCCCATGTTAGGATATGTTATCTGTTCTGTTAGTCCTAATTGTCAGTAGTAAGTGTATCTGCTGCTTCAAAATAATTTTTCACATCACATGGAGAAATACTGAGCTCATCCAGTCTTCTTATTTTACAAATGAGGAAAATGAGATCCAGGGAAGCAAAATAATTTGCTCGTGGTCATAACATTTGTTACCATCAAAAACTTTACTAAATGATCTAAATTCCAAAGGCATCTGAACCCTTCCCTCCATCCTAGTGCTCTTATGTGCTTTCTGTTTCATTCTGTTCTTTTTAAAATTTACCTACTGTTCACCTTGTCTGTTTCTACATAATTGTGACATAGATACAATGGTCTTATGACAAAGATATTATGTTATCCTCTAGGCAATGAGGATAACAAAAAATGATAGGGTGAATTTCTGATTTTGAGTTAATAGTGTTTTAGGGGAAGATCACCTATTAAATGGTTTTATGAATGATAAGAGATACATGCTATGTATATGGGAGCGGTGAAGATAAACGGGATGGGGAGGTTTAATATTACCTATCTTGTATGTACATCAAGTCCAGTATAATATCAACTCTTACAGCCATTTCAATTCTCATTAAATTTAAGAATTTTTTTGGATGACTTGTTATTGTGTGACTCAGCTTCTGTGAACTAAGAAGCATGGTATAAAATTATTGTGAGCCTAGAAAATTATTAATGGGAAAAATTGTTGCCATATTATCTCTTGATCTGGCTAACTTTGTAGAGACCAGAATGACCCAAATTTTTTATAACACATCTGTCAAAATAATACAGGGATATCATTTCCTTCTTAACAACTCATGCTTAGTGCGTTACTGACAAGTTGTAGATTCTGTATGGTATTTTACCTTATTTCATGACTTGATCTTTTTTGGCTTCATTTAATCAAAGTCTAGGACATTGAGATGTCATTGTAATATTTTTGGATAATTTTAGGATTTTTGGTGACTGTCTGTGTTGGAAGCATATTTTTTTTTACCTTTTTTTTTCTATTTAAATGCGACCATTGAGAAAACTGGTTGTTTGCAATATTTTCACTTATGAATTGTGAGTTAGATGGGACTTTGAATTCTAATACACAAGAAAATTCTTTGCTTACACCTATCATAGTAATTTTTTGATGTTGACTTTGATATTTGATACTTGGTGGTGAAATACTCCTAGTACCATTCATTATGTCCTGTTACTGATACAATAATAGGAGACTGATTTGTTGTAATCATCAAATTACAATTAGAATTATTGAAAAAATAATTCTTGTTTTATTCCCTGCAAAGATTCTCCCTAGTGTTCTTTTACAGTGGAAAAATATTATGTGTACTATTCCAGGAATAGTTAACTAATAGGTAACTACATTGCTCAGTAGTGCAGCCAAGAAGAAATCCTGCCAGTACCTTGGTAGTGATGATTGACATTCCAGGACAGTGTAGCAGTTATTTTTCTCTAATGAAAGTGCTAGTAGTAGTACTATTTTCAAATATTGAGATAAATTATATTCTGAAGGATCTTTCTGTATCTCCCTCTATTGATGTTATAATTGCCCTGAGATTAACATTTTAGAGAAGTTGTTTATAGCCCAAAATACCTGTAATTTTTTGACAGGGGTTTCCTTTCTTATGAATTTTCCCAGCTTTTTAAAGATAAACTAGAACCACCATTTTTATAATGTCTTAGCTGATGTTCAGAAAGGCCATGTATTTGTAGCAAGAGAATACCTGAGTATTATTAGTCATTAGTATTCAAATGACTCTAGATTAGGGCCTTTCCACAGTCTTTGAGATGGGAATCGGTATTAGTGATTTTTACCCTTTAGAAGGTTAATCTTTAATTATGACTTCGATTATAGTTTATATTTAATTCTTTATGATCTGTACTGATTAGAAGATAATCCAGAATTTTTTGAAGTAGTATCTGAAGTAGTTCAGAAACCACATCTATTCCTTCCCATGCTTTTATTTTTCGTGGAAATCACTAAAACATGGGCCAAAAACTCTCAAAACGGTTGTTTTTTCCCAGTTTACATAAAATTTTGGGGAAATTTTTCTTTTTTAAAAAGATCTCTAAGAATGCTTGAGGGATGTTATTGAAGTATAATAGAATGCATGGAACAGATTTGTGTATAAATGTATTTCTGAGTTTTGTTTATCATTTAGTAGTGGTGCCTCTTACTGCTAAGGGATAGCAATACCAAATTTTAGCTCCTGCCTTATTGACTCAGTCACATGTTCTAAACATATGTACATTATTATTATTATTATTATTATTATTATTATATATGTTCATCTCTATCAATTCAAATTTATGGACATTTAATAAGAATGTAGATCACTTGCATTTTGTTTTTTTTACATGTAGTTTTGGTTCTGTGTTCTCAGCCCTTGAATTTACTACTTCTGGACAACAATAGATGTATATCCAGCTGTGATTACTAGTATATTAAAAATACATAATTTTCAGGCCCTCCATGGTGGCACGGCAGGTTAAAGGTCAGAACTATGAAGCTATCACAGCCACTGCAGTACGAGTTCAATCCCCAGCCAGGGAGTGACCCATAAGGCATGGCAGACCCCTCCTGACA